TTCCAAAGGCTCTTGAACCACATGGTCAGGTATAGTCACAGCAACGACCCCACTCCTCTGGTACCAAATTCTGTCTTGGTTACTTTTTTCTTGTTGCTGGGACAAAATACCTGACACCCAAAATTAAGGAAGGAAAGGTTTATTTTGCTTATAGTTCGTGGAAGTTTCAGTCCGTACTTGGCAGATTATAAGGCAGAGTGGCATGTTGCAGAGGGCTACATCTCAGGGCGGCAGCACACAGCTAAGCGGCAAGCACCCACCAGGGCGGAATGGGGGAGGAATGCCCCCAAGCAGCTTCTCCCTCTCCCTTACATATGCAAACTATCCACTCCAGGGCGGGTGCAGCTCTCACACCCATATTCAACTCTAATAGCTTGCCCCAAGTTTGCATGAAGCTTTGGAGGGGACGCACAGACATAAACCATAACAGGTAGATTAGTTTTAATTGGTGGTAGTGTTTCTATGTTCTAATTCTCTAAAATAGGTTTTAGTAGGATTTTGTGTCTATGGAAAAAAAATGCTCGCAACTAATAATGTCAATCAGAAAATAATCTCATGTAACATGTTAGTAAAGTAAATAACAGAAAGACATTTCCATAGAAAGTATTGTATTTATGTGATTCTTGGAGTTTTATATCCAAGTGACTTGCAAAACATTATATCTGCAGTGAACACTTGATGTGTAAATCTTTACTAAGACTGTTTACTTGTTGGCTCATCATATTAATTTCTGCTGGGGCAAATATGGTACTAGATAATGGGGAGAAAGGAGGAGATAGAATCCCTCCTTTACTACATGAAATGGTACTTACATAATTTAGAAAAATATTCTAGCAGCGATTAATGGAGCACAATAATTACATCCGTTTTCAGACAGAATTTCAGAGGAGCCTGGCTTTTGAGAAAGTTGATAGATGTGCTTTGATTCACAAAGAGGATAAGGGAGAAAATGTCCCTGTTCCAAAAAAGAAAGAATGGTGTATTTTAGGGTGACAGCTGAGACTCATAAACTTGTTTTGTGGAAGCAAGTAGATTAAATTGGCATGAGTGGAAGTGTGTGTGGAAGATAGTAAGCTTTGGTAGGTTGTAGAGCTAATTGGTACGTGGGGAATGTAGACATCAATCTGTAGTCTAAAGGAAAAAGACATTGTCGATTGCCCTATATGTTAAACAGTACAGAAAATGAAATAATTTTGTGATAACAAACAAATTCTAAGGATGCAGACTTACTTTGAGAGAACTATGAAGCAAAGTAAGACTGAGTTTGGGTGTAATTTGCAAAATGAAAACCTATTCCTTGTTGACATTTCAAAAGCATTGCTTGCAGAATGGGTGAATGTACAAGTGAATTTACATTTATGACTGGATATATAAAGGAAAATAAAAGGTTTTAAAAATATATTAATGATAATTGAAATTTGATTAGGGTTGATACCGTTTTTTTTTTTTTGGTTCCAGGTTGCTGCTTTGGTAAGAGAACATCAGTGACTGATGGTGTTTTCATTCAGCGTAAAGTGCTTTATTGCCTTTATGGATTGACTGAACAAATTCAGGTTGGTACATTTTATGGACAGTACTTCTCTGTTTACATTTTGAGAAGTGAAAAATTTTGTTTAAAGCTATATGTAGGTATCAGTGAAGTAAAAGATGAAATCAGTCTAGATTTTTTTGAGTTGTATTTAGTTAAGAAACATTTTTGATTACTTACTGTGTATAATCTGTACTGTGTAAAATGAAAAATATTTTACTTCATTTCTAATAATTTTATACTTCAAAATTTCAAACTGAATAAAACTAGTTGTAGCTAAATGTGGTACACTGAACTTTGGTATCATGTGGCTTATTTGGTGTGGAAAATAAAGTATCCTAGCTTTTAAAAGTATTCTTGTCCACATTTTATTCATACATGAACATTTTATTTTTAGTGCTGAATCTATGAGTTTTGACAAATATTCATCACCATAGTTAAAACAGTTCCATGACCATCCAGATTCCTTCATGTTGTCTCTTTGTCGTTAACTTCTCCTCCCATCCCAATCCCTGGCAACCATTCACTGGTCTGTTTTCTGTTCCTGTAGTTTATCCAGTATGTCATGGACATGGAACCATGTAGTATACAGCTTTTAGTGTCTGTCTGTTTGGTTTTATTAGCACATGTCTGCGGTACATAATGTTTACGTTCCTTGTGTGGAGTTGGTACACGTACTCAACACATCTTAATTCCTTTTATCATCCTCTTTGACTCCATTCCTTCCTCTCCCTCCATCTCTTGATTCCCTTCCTATTTGAGAGAGATCTATCTCTCTACTTTCTATTCTTTTACTTTGGTCTTTATTTATAACTTGGGTTTCTCTTGCATTTGAGGTTCATTCATGTTCCTATGTTCGTCTGCAGTAGTTCTGTTTTTATTGAGGGGTAGTGTTCCAGTGTATGAGCTATCACACAGTTTGTTCACTGATTGATGGATATTTTGTGCTTTTAAAGTTTTGGTGATTATAAAGCTGCTGTAGTCATACATTTAAAAAACATCATTCTATACTCTTTATTTAAAAAGTAATTTTTTGTTGTTAAAAAAAGATGACATGGACTTGACTGGACTAGGGTTGCATTTCTTTTTAAAAATGTCACTCAGAAGTAACCAGAAAAAAAAACTTAGCAGGTATGTGACTAAGAAAATGACCTGCTAGTTATAGTCATTTTGTATATAGAAAAAGAAGTGATACAAAACTTAGAAAGGGGGGTATATTTGAATTTGTGGTATTTCCCGATTTTTCCAAAGTCAGTAACTTTCTATAATGGTAAATGAGAAATATACAGGTAGGGTTATACAGTTAAACCTCACATAGACAGTTTCCCAAAGTTACATGTTTTTAAAATGAACTTATAAGAATTCTCGTATTGTAAAATTTTACTTAAAGAGGGCACAGATTGAGCATTAAAAGTCAATTTAAAATTTCTTAGCTGAGTGTTTGGTATGAAAAGGAATGGATACTGTTGTGTGGTGGGGAAATTAGTGATCTGCCTTCCTCAAAGCTCGGGAGGGAGAAGCCAGGAGAATTGCTGTCAGTTCAAGGCCAGCCTGGGTTTATAGTTAAAGGACAGCCAGAACTGTTAGTGGGACCCTGTTTCAAAAAACAAAGGTAGCTTGAAATATTTGAATGAATATTTACAAGGAATTAGTTCATTATTTGCTTCAGAAACAGGTATTGAAAGTATATGTTGGGGCTGGGGATTTAGCTCAGTGGCACAGTGCCTGCCTGGCAAGCGCAAGGTCATGAGTTCGATTTCCGGTGCCAAAAAAAAAAACACAACCAAAAAACCAAAAATCAAGAAAGTATATCTTCTATTGGAGACCCATTCCATGTCCCAGTTATCAGGGACCCCTGCAGTAAGTCCCCAATCTCTTGGCAAATGTTAATGGCACACGTGAGAAGAAAGAGCAAGAGAGGAAATAGTTGCAGGCGTGGCTCAAGGGCAGGACAAGAACAAACTCTGGATGTCCCCTAGTCTCAGTTTATAATTTGTGGTCCTCAGCAGTCTTGTTCTGACTCAAAGGCTGTACGTTAAGCTGTTTTCTTGTTTCTGAAACTTTATAGATGAATTCCATTAGTTTTATAGTATCTGTGGATCCAATAGTTTGTTATAGTGTGTTCTCAAGTGGGCAGTGTCTTTTAAATGGGCAAAATTTCTCTATTTTAGCCAGAGTCAGTGCATTAAAAGGAGTTTCTGAGACAGAATATAGGTTGAGCATTCCTAATTGGAAAATCCAAAATCCAAATGCTCCAAAATCTGAACATCACATAACACCACTAGCAGAAAATTATATGCCTGGCTTCATGGGGCAGGTCATAAGCAGCATACAGGCACATAAAAATGTTGTATAAAATTACGTTTAGGCTATGTGCACAAGGTATAGATGAAACAAATAAGTTTTGTGTTTAGACGTGGGTCCCGTATTCAAGATATCTCATTATGTATATGAATGTAGTCCAAAATTTGAAATTATCTGAAGTCTGAAACATTTCTGATTCCAAGCATTTTTTGATAAACGATGCTTATTAGTTCTTCATTGGACAGGTGTAATCCAGAATCAAGATATTGTTATACTCACAAGTTATGATTTCTTCAGGATTAGAGCTATTTCTTTGGTGAATGTCATATTAACCACTTAAGTTATTTGGCATAACTTTTGAATGCAACTTCAGAGACGTCATAACTGAAAGCCAATATAATAGAAAGATATGAATAACTAACACGTTGAAATAATAGATTTTTATTGGCCAAAGACCTTGGAGTAAGTATTTAGGGCAAATATATATTTCTTAAAGTGTATTAGAATTTCACGTACACACACACACACACACACACACACACACACACACATTTATATATTTCTAAATTTTCAAACAGATAATTGAGCTCCTTGAACGTCGTTTGCAATTTTGGTATTTTCTAAAGGAACTGTTTTATAGCAGTATTACTACTTAATCTCAACTTCATCAGGCTACTTGAAAGTTCATTAAAGCACCTTATATTTGTGGATTCTCCCGGAATGGCAGGGCAAGAAAATAAGAAGTGAATTTTCTGAAAGGATGAGAAAATAGACTTCTTGTAACATTTTTATGTAAAATGGACCCTTAATGCCTTTTTTGTAAATAGAAAAGTATAGGTCCAGAGAGGTGACGTGATGCGCTTTTAATCATACAGCTGCTTAGAAACATGTAGTGTAATACTCATTTTACTCATCACCCTATCTTTTTATCCTGAGATCACTGCTTTATGGGTTGAGATAAAGTTAAACTCCTCAATTTAATACAGTTTACAAAACTCAGGTTTACTTTAAGTTTACTTAAAGTTAATTTATTTTAACTAATTTACTAGTTTAAGTTATTTTAAGTTGCTTTTAAGTTAAAATAGGCCACAATTTAAATGGTTTAAGATATTTTACTTTTGAAATATATGCTGATACTGAATATACAAATAGAAAAATAGAACAAATTACCTTGTATTTTGTAACAGCCTCAAAACGTTTTGATAAATGACTTTAGAATTTGTTAGCTTTTCGTCACTGTGGAAGGATACCTGAACAGACAAAGTGGAAAAAGTTTACGCTGACTCATGGTTTCAGGTGTTGCTGTCCCCAGTCAGCTAGCTCCATTTCTTTTAGGCCTATGGCAAGGTAGAGACATCAAGTTGCAAAGCTGCTTACTTTATGGCAGCCAGGAAGCAGACAAAGAGAAGAGGGATTTGAACAAGATAGAACCCCCAATGCATACCCTCAGTGATCTTTTACCTGGGCCCCACCTTCTGGCAACCAGTTCATCTATGAACCCATCAATGGGTTAATCCTGTTGATGAGATTCGTGCTTTCATGATCTGATCATCTCTGAATATTGTGGCTTTGGGGATCAACCTTCAAAACACGAATCTTGGAGGGATACTTCATATTCAGATTATAAGAGAATTCTAGTTTAAAATCCATCCTAAAGTGAGGAGTTATATTTTATTTTATAGGATTTCATTTATAAAAGTATTAATAGGTATAATTGGTAAGGTTCAGAACTACTAATTTGTTTTATTTTATTTTTAGGAGGGGGTACCAGGAATCGAACTCATGACCTTGCACTTGCCAGGCAGGTGCAGTGCCGTTGAGCTATTTCCCCGGCCCTGTTTTTTTTATGAACATTACGTGGCCTAGAAAATTAGTATAGAATTTATTCATGACATTATTCTGTAAGTATAAAAATAAAGATTCGAATGTATACTTACTTTGCAGTATTTGATTAATAATCACATTATAAGAAATGTTAATTTATACAGATTAAAGTGACTTGATTTATACAGATTTTTGAGAGAAGAAAGTGTTCCATTTTGTTATGTGTTTCCCTCCTGAAACATCACTTACTCACGTATTACGTCAACTTCATCCTGAGTCTCTTAAAAATCTTTTAGCCTTTTATGAAAGGGAAATAGATATTGAAGAAATAGATATTTCTCTTGAGCCTGATGGGTTTCCTGTGTTTCTGCATATCTGCTTAGCAGAAGCATTGACAGCTTTTATGGTAGTGGCTGTTTTTTTCAAGAAAATCTATATAAGCAGTTTAGAAAGGAGCATCTCTGTTGGAACAGAGGATGGATTTCCTTGCTGTCCAGCATAATTAAGTAATTCCTCTGGAATAAAGGTTGGGCATATTTGCTTTCGTTCCATTAAATTATTGGAATTTCTTAAGCTTGGGTTTCTTGTCCATTGTGCGTGTAGCTGGCACTTGGTTCTCCTTCCAGTGATCCTTAGGAATTAGAGCTTGGGGAGCTAGTGCATGATATTTTGGCTAGTGTTATTGTTGTGAATAGTAAACTAGTCTTTGTTTTGGACCTAGAAGCATCATATCATCTGCCACAATTACTTGATAGTAGTTCAACAAATATAACTAACACATCCTATTGATTTTTTTTTAAAGCTGTTTGTTGCTTATTGTGGTAAGGGAGAACACCACCGCCTTGACAGACCTTAACTAATTTTATAAAGAAGCAAAGTCAAAATTTAAGTGAGAGA